ATTTGTGTACCTGAATTTCCGATTTTAATTAAATATTCACTGACAGGTAGAATAGATTTTTTAAAAAATTCCTGATTTTATGATCGTCCAGGGGGAGACTGGTGTCTGGGCATGGGTTGGTCGTGAAGTAGACGCCCGAGAGAAATTGGAGGCAGTGCGAAATGCCCGGGGTTTTGTGAAGAAAAAGGGGTACAGCAGTTGCGTTCCAGTGGCTCGTGCACTAGAAGGTGAAGAGCCACCGGAGCTGAAAACCCTGTTGAGAAGCTGGGACGTAGTGAAGACACGACCCCTAACACTTCCCCCTTGCTTCGACCCCGAGTACATGACAGAAAGACCGAAGATGGCTGCTGAGTGTCAACTGGTTGACGATGGAAGCGGAAGAAGAACTCTCTGGAGGATTTCAAAAAAGGATGGGATGAAAGAAGTCAACGAGCACGGAGCACTAGCTGGCGTTTACTTCGCTGGGCTTTGCTACGTGATGAAGTACTGCTACGGAAGTGGAAGAAGAGAACGAACAATTGTAATTATTTACCAAAATATTTTTTTATCCACGATCACCTCCAAGTATTTACTCATATTTCATTTTGATCAGATTTATTGCTGGGAAGGGGCGCATTCTACGAGTGTAGATCGTGAGGCTGCCCTAGATGCAGCTTGCAGATTATCTCAAGAAACTTCCGGACAATTGGTGAAGGCTTCCCAAGGTCGTGAGCCCCCGCATTTACTCCAAATTTATGCTGGCAAACTTCGAATTTTATCTGGACAACATCAAGAAACATGTGAGACTAATTTTGCCACGACGAATTTTTTATTTTTGGCATTGCGCTAGCGAGGATATTATTTATATTTGTTTTTTCTTCTGAATAGTACCGAAGAAGTACTTGGTGAGAGTTTTCGGGTCGACCCCTTACACATCGAAAGCTGTGGAGCGACCTCCTAGAGCGAGCTCTTTGGATTCTGGTGGAGTTTTCATTCTGTTTTCTAATTCTCCGGTGGTTTGGTGTGGTGGACGAAGCACTGGAGATGCCAGGGAAGCTTCCAGACGTTTGGCACCGAATACTGCGCCATTAATTGCCGAGGGCAAGGAAGATGAAGAATTTTGGATGCATTTAGGAGGTCAAGAACGTTAATAAAATTAATTTCCTACTGATGTACTGCACTTGTTGCATATTCAAATGAATATTTAAAAAAATGGCATGAACAGTAAGAAGACTCATATAATTAGATACCATGATTTTATTTTTCAGGAAAAGGAGAATATGGAGCGGAATCAGCGGATATGGGAGAGGAGTCAGGGAAGCATTTGTATCACTGCGAAATATCAGATGGAGTATTTGTAGGTGAGGAAATCCTCGGTTTTACTCAGAATAGTCTACTCCCCGAAGCAGCTTGGCTCTTGGATGCTGGAAGTGTCATCTGGGTATGGTTAGGGAATTTTTCCGAGTCGAAGAACATGAAGAAGTGCCTCCAAGAGGCCTCGACGTTCTTATGTACGCATCCAGCAGGTAGAGACAGGAACACCGTGATATCGATCATCAGACAAGGCCTAGAACCTCCGACATTCATAGGACTCTTCGAGAACTGGAATCATAATCACTGGAGGGACTACAAATCGTTCGATGTCGTGAGAATGTCTCTTCAGGGTCAAGAAGCAGTCATGAACCATCAGGGAAGGGAAACCACTGATTTCGATGCGTACGTCAAGTATCCTCTCAGAATCCTCAAAATGGACCCGGAACATCTCCCGGGTGAGGTAGATGTCTTCAAGAAGGAACTGCATCTCACGTATGATGACTTCACCTCGATTTTCAAAATGAACCCTGTGGAATTTGATAAACTGCCGGCTTGGAGGCAACAACGACTGAAACAAACAGCTGGATTATTCTGATTTCATTATTACCCCGGTTGTTGTGAAATTCCGTGCATGGTTGGTTGATTTTTTTTTCTTCTCTGCCGAATATTTAATTACTTGAGGGATTTATGTTATCAAAACCTTAAAAATATATTTTAATGCATAAGAATAAATGTATAAATATGAATAAATAAATGTAAATAAATATAAATTTATAAGTGTATGGCACATTTAATTAATTTCCTCATGTTAAAGAATATTTTGCAATAATATTTTACTGTCTCAGTGATTAGGTGATTGGGTGGAGAAAATGAATACGTTAGATATCCTTTGAAATAAATGATAACTCACGAATGAATTGATCAAGTGATCAAGTGTCGAAATAAATAAAGGATTATTCCATTCAATCAACGATCAATTGAGGTTTTAACATAAAAAAATTAATAAAACCTGTCTTGCTTTTCTGTTCACCTTCGCTCTTGGAAAAAATAATCCTTAACCTCTTCGAAATGATACCGAGGGCGTGACGATCGATTCTTTGTATAAAGTGACGTGCGCGTAGTAATGCGCATGGGAAATCTCTCCCGGTGTTTCCCCCATTTATGTCGTCTCATTACGAAACTTTGCCGTACGAGAAAATGTGATTAAAAAAAGATAAACATTTCGAATATTGCGAATTCTTGGAGTTTATTTTTTATTGCTGCAATTGATTCTACAATTGTAAACCATGAGTCTTAGAAATAAATTGAAAAATAGGAAATATCTCTATAAAAATGCTGGAAAATATTGAATAAACGAATATTCATTCCTCATCGTGATTTCTTTCTGCGTAGGAATGAGGATAACTCTGATATAAAGTTTCGTGATACGAAGTTCTGTTTACAAAACTAAACATAATTGGATTTTGAGAGATACACAATTTCTTTCCCATATCGAGTGTG